TCTCAGGCGCCGTGCCTTCATGGGCGAAGAAGCAGGTGCCGTCTCAGTCAACTGGGAAGTTCTGTCCCGCGTTCGGGTTCACGCATCAGAGCCAACGGCTGTGCAGTGGAGTCGCGGTGCGGTCGGCGATCTTCATGTTGCTCGCGCTGATCTGGGTCGCCCTGCCAATTTCGTTCTCCCGCCGGAGAAAACCGAGTGGGGTGGGTGTCGCCAGCGTGATTTCAGATGGGGTTTCTTTTTCTCGCTGGAATTCCCGCGCTCTTCTGCATCGGAAGTCTTCCTTGATGCTGCCGAAAGCCGAGATTGTCGAGTCGCTCTTCGGCGACTCCAGCATCGTTGCGCTTCAGCAGGTCCAGGGCCCCCCCCTGATGTGGTGAGAGAGCTGTTATCCAGAGTCAATCGAGTGCGAGGTCGAGATCTTTGCGGCGGATGGGCTGTGCGGGCATACTTACGCGTATTGTGCGGTCGGTCGAGGTTCCGCCGCTCGTTTTCGTCGCAGGGCGCGTCCTTTTTCTAGAGCTTCGGCATCGGTCGAATGGCTTCTGCTGACGCCGCCGGAGCGCGCGCGGCCATGATATTTCCAGGGAGGGGGTGGGGGCATCATATAAGGGGGCTTCGATCGTCAGCTTGCCTTGTTTCGTTCGAGCCCAATGCCGCGCAGTCTCCTCTTGATACGTGGTTTCGATATTGCCGACGACGAGATCGACTGCTGCACCCCGAATCTCTCGCGCGTGCGAGGCTGGGGGCCCCTTGGGGAGGCTCCTGGGCAAGCTGCCCAGGTCGCTTTGGGCTCTTCTGCTGGGGCTCCGTCGCTTGCTGGGAACAATGGGTGGCGCTTGATCTTCAGGCTGCTGGCAGAGTCAAACGGCCCTGACCTGAGCCATTTCAACATGTCTTCGATGACGAGTGCCATAATCGACAGGAGCTTTGCCGCATCTCCTTTTCGGCAGCCGCGTCAACTGCGGCTGGTGGCGAGACGCCATGACGGGCCGCGAGGATTCCATGGCGCCGAACTGTCAGGCCATGCCGCGCCCAGCGTTTCGCGGCAGACGCCAAGTTGGGCAGACGGAGAGGCAGCGTGTTCCACGAACGTCCAGAGATCGATTTTCAGGGGCCCAATCTTCGAGCAGATGCTGACAAGGGCACGAGAGACTCGCTGGCATCGGGGAACGCGCCCCCCCCGTCGAGCTGGCGCCTGCGACCAGGTGCAGGCGGGCCGCGGCGAGGGCTTTCCCCAAATGCGTGACCTCGCTCGCTTGCCAGTGCCGTTTGGGGGCGGGGTGCGAAGCTCGGCAACCTTGAATGGCAGAGGCGTGCGCGGCTGCGCGTTCACTCCTCCATCGATCCTTCCCCCCTCCTTCTCGCCCTCGCTGATCCCGAAGGCTTTGCCAGAGCTCGCGCTGCCCGTCGGTTGCATGAGAAACCGTGGCTGCGCGCTCTCGCCTCCGCGCAGTCGAGCGAGGGCAATGCCGCGCCCGGCCGCCCCCCCGCGCGCGCGCCCGTCCGGGGGGCCCCCCGGCGCGGGGCGGAGCTCTGGCCCCCCTGCAGTCGGAGGAGGTTCCCTGCGGGAGTGGCTAGGGGAACATAAAGTGGCATAAACATAAAAACTCGGAGGTCCGCGCGGATTTCTCGGATCGGCGCCGAGGGCCCTCGGCGGCGCCTCCGGCGCCGCCCCTGGCGCGCTCCGCGCGCCAGGGAGGGGGGTCCAGCGCCGATCCGAGAAATCCGCGCGGACCTCAGAGTTTTCATGTTTATGCCATTTTTTGTTTCCCCACCGGAGGAGGCTGGCGTGTCGGCTAAGGGCTGGGCCGCCGTGCCGAGAAGCCACTGGGCGCCCATCGGTGAGAGGCGCTCAGTTGCCCCCAGCCGGGGGAAACGGCGCCCGTCCAAGTCTGCCAGTATTGGTGGTGGGGTGCCGAGTTCCCGCCGCCGACGCTGGCGGCCGCGCGTCAGTTTTTGAGGGGGGCGCCCCCTTCCGCTCCTGGCCCAGACTGGCTGTCCGACGTTTCGTGAGGCCATGGTCAAGGCCCGCTGGTCTTCTTGAAGTCTCTTCGCTGCGTTTCCCGAGGCGCCCCGATGCCTCTCTTCTTCCACTCCTGCCTCCAAGTTCTTATCCTGGAGAAGGTCCAGGTCATGGTGGTGAGGTTCATGGCGGGGTGGCTTGGCGCTGTCGCGACGCCCGCCCGATCGGCCTCTAACGCGTCAGCAATGGATCATGATTGGTGTTGCCAACATCGGTCTCTCGCGCGTCGCGAATAAGATGGGCGTTCCAATTTAGAAGAGCTTCGTATGAGGCCGTACCTTTCTGTCCAATGTGCACGAGCCAGACGCGCGCGCTCGTCTCGGCAGCTCGATGGCAGCTCGATGCGCTTTCGGCACCTGTCGTCGCTTTTGACCTCCGCCAGGCATTCCCATCGGTCAATCAGGACTGGTTAATGTAACCAGTGCACTGGATCAGGTTTTCCAGAGGATGCCATCGCGTGATCCAAGGGGCGTGTTC